TCACAAGAGTGCTTCTCAACCCCTCTCTTCTGTCTTTTTCTCCATCCGAACTCTTATTCAGTAAGCTCAAGCAGGGAGCTGCGTCAGCATGCAGAGGCTGCAGAAGAACAAGCCAAAGGTTTATTCCTGCTGGAAAGAGAAGACAGGCAACACAACGTGTCGGCTGCCGTGTCATTGAGTTCAGGGCCGTGGAGAGCCGGAGCCGACCCCAGCAAACAACGGACACAAGCCTGGGGACACACACTCACACCAGGGGCAATCCAGAAGCCAATTCATCTACCAGTGTGTTCTCGGAATGTGGAGCCCCCACAGTATACCCACACAAACTCGAGGAGAACATGCAGACTCCACAGCGACAGCAGCCCAGGTCTGGAATAGAGCCCAGGGCCCCAGCGCTGAGAGGCTGCAATGCTGACCACTGAGCCTCATGCAGCCCTGCAACTCACAACAGATTCTCTGAAACACGAGTGCAAAAACAGATTGAAAAGGTCTAATCAAGCAAGAACCCCAATTAAAGGATCAATTAGCCTGATTAAACAGAAGACTCCAGGACTGGGATCTGAGTGACACTGGGCTCTGTGCATAGAGCCTGCATGGCATAATCCATCTGATTGACAAGAGTACAATACAGAGTTAGAAAGCAATGGGGCATTTTATTTGGTTTAATTTCTAGACGCTGGCTATACCTGAGGAAGTGTTCATTAATTTGACGGCTTATGTGAAAGTTTATGCTTTTAATTAAAATTCAGTGCTAACATCAGATGTGTGAAAAACAGTTTCGAGGGAGAGCCAGCGCGCATAATTAAGCGATAACGAGTATCTTCTCACAACAGGCTGCTTACGAAATGTCTGCTTTTGCACATGTACAAATAAAATACGTCAGTGCCTAATTCTGCAAACAAGTTTGTCATTTTGTTTATATTTACGGTCTCGTATTGCCTTCGGACCTGGCTAGCCCGGCCTGTCGGCGGGGTCTCAGTCCGTCCCGGTGTCGCCCCTCGGTCCTTAACGTGGGACTTTAACGGGATAAATGGTTAACCTCATGCTTTCTATGAACGCCCTTTCTATCGTCAAGGTTTTCTGCACTCCATCTTGATCAACGAAAGACGTCGTTAAATAACAGCTTTAAAAAACGGCAAACGAGCACTAATTCAGATTCCCCACAGTCTCCCTCTCGAAAAAGACATAACACTTTAATTCTGAGGTCAGGACCAAAACACATAATTGGAAATCAGTAA